AATCACTTTATATTTGTTAAGTATGGTCTGAATTCTAGTAAATGTGGAGGAAAAGTCAACTATGTTACGAAAAGTCTGGAAAGACCTGACACAGAAATTGGAGATTTTATGTGACGAGAATATGTGGTTGTATATTCCAAGGCTCTATTTCCCTGAGAAATGGCATGTGGGAAGTTCATGTGTTAAGGCACCAACTTTGACTTGTTCTAAGTTTTTCTATCATTAAACAAACAAACAACAAACAAACAAATAAGCAAAAAAAAAAAAAAAAAAAAAAAACAAAACCCATTTCAAGACTAGGGTAGAACAAGGTGGCAGAATAATACCTCTTTTAGCAACAACTTGTACTGATTCTATGTGTTGACTCTGATTTGGGATTATGGTTTCTTACTTTGAAGACTCGCCTGTTTCAATTTATCCTTTGTGTATCTCTATAAATTATTCTTTAGCTTTTATGTAAATCTTATGTGATAAATCACCCAGCCACTTTATTTTTACATTCACTGACTAGTTAAATATTAAGGGCATCCACTCCAAGAGTACAACATTCAAGAGAACCCTTGAATAACATTTGGAATTGAGCTTGCCTGTCATGAACATTCACTTTTAACATCTTACCAATTCCCTTTAAGATTTTTCCAGCAAAACACCCATTACTGCTCAATGGGTTATATTGCTTGGCTGTCTGAGGCGCCCATTTTTCTATATTCCAGCATAGGAGACTTTAGTACGCTCAGTTAAACCTCAAAGTATACATCTGGAGCCCCAAATCCCCACCCCACTGGCATTCAGCAGATTCCTGGGGAATGTTACTTTAAGGGATAATGGAAGGAGAGACAGACTATCTAGATAGAGGCAAGTCCTATTTTCACTCGAAGTTTCTACTCGGAGAAGACTAAATATTCAGATAACAATGTCCTGGTCAGTGACAGATCTTGGACACTCTACAAAAGTTCTTGCTTGTGGGCTTTCAGTTCACTGGGTCCAAGGGAGTATCTGAGAATTCTTTGGGGTCAGTAATAAGGTGAAAAGGCCTTGGGATCCCATGTCCTCTTTCTAACACCATTATGTCTTTCCTGTGTTTCTTTTTCTTTTTATTCCTTTATTTTTACCACAGTAATCTGCAATAAGGATTTTCACAAGGAAATTTAAAAAAGAAAAAAAAAAGGAAATTATCTTCTCCTGTAGGTCAATAAGGATGAGGCTTTGGAAAGTAGTGCTAGATCTTATGAGATAATTTCTCTGAGGATGAGTAATACCCACATTGGAAGCTTAGCCAGGTGGCTTCTCATGTTGACATCATCAACAACAACTACAGCCCAAAGGAAAAGGGTGAAAAACCAAAACAAGTTAGATTCCATACTTTAAAAAAGTAGGGAGTGTTCTATATCTTGTAGCCTTCAAATGGAGAATATAGACAACAATGGAAAATTAACCAAAGGGTCAGTTTAATACAATACAAGGTAAATGACCCAAACCAGTAGATTATTGTAAACTGACATAAACTCCAATTGTGTTGCTTGTGCATTCATGATGGTCAGTTGTATCCAAATATATTATATTTATATATTATAATTATATATGCATATATAATTATATTTATTTTTTACGAAACTCCTAGGTATTAGTTATTCTTAGACTCTTTCTAAAGATAAGCACACCAAAAGCTTAGAGATGACAAATACCTTGGCTTGACATCAGACAGTTTTTTCCATTCAAAATGTCATGTGAGAATCAGCATTGGAACTGTTTTTCCGACAGTGTTTATAAAAACATTACAGTGCTGTTTAGTATCTAATATTAGGCTTTTGTTTTACTCTCTAGACCCTACCTTATATACATTGTATACATATTTTTAAATATGACATGAGCTGTCATATTACTGTCAGAACAGCACAACTGATGAGTCACAGACTCTCAGGTCAGATTCCTTCTCTCTTTAGAAATGGTTGGGGGCTCTACACCATCTTATTTTCCCATATCAAGTTTACATACTTTGGTTTTCTGACATTTTGGATTAGATAGTTTGTTATTGTGGAGGCCTGTCCCACATATTGTAGGATTTTATCAACATCCCAGGTCTTAATCTAGTAGATACATATAGCATCACCCAGTGTAATGATCTAAACTGTCTCCATAATTATCACCAAATGTTTATATATATATTTGTCATCTGTCATGACTTTTTTTTTTTTTGGTGGTACTAGGGATTGAACCCAGGGCCTTGAGCATGCAAGGCAAGCACTGTATCAACTAAGCAATATCCCCAGCCCTATCACCAAATATCGATAGAGCAAAATTTTGCCCCAGTGAAGAACCACAACTCTAAAGTCATTATGAAGGAACTATCCGAGTAATCCTTCTGCTCAGTTTCTTTCCTGCATATAAAGAATTTCAAGAAATAAATTATTTAGGCATTGTGTTTGTCAGAACAAGACAAATCATGCTGAGTAACAAGCAAGGTTAAATGGCTTAACATAAGATGCCATTAGCTCTTTAGGGCAGCTATCCTCCTGCAGTAGTTTGACAGTCCAGGTAGCTTCAGACTTTTAATAGCTCAGTGTCCACACACACTCACATATCATTACAGCAGTGAAAGAGTGTGGAGAACCATCCCAACTGTCTTACACAGGAAGTGGCACATCACTTCAGCTCACATTTTATTGAAAAGAGCAAGTCACATGTTTGTGTGTAACTTGAGGCAGAGAGGAAGTTTGGTCCTCAATACTTGAAAAGGAATGTCTGGGAAATCTGGTGAGCATCATAATATGTACCTTGTTATCTGATAACTATTATCTGATTGCCTTGAGTTCCTGACAACATGATTCAAGTAAAATTTGATATACAGGACCTAACCATTGGTTCTGGACAGAATGTGTACATGTGAAACAATGAATAAACAAGATGATATGTATTACATGCAATAAATTGTAGCATTAAATTTATGAATTAATTTATTAAAATACATTTTTGTGATTTTTTTACTTTATGATATTAAATCTTTCAATTAAAGAGTATAGTAATTCTCTACTTTGTGTTTTTTACTTATTTTTTTAAATATGTATTTTTTTAGTTGTACACAGTTCCTTTATTTTGTTTATTTATTTTTATGTGGTTCTGAGGATCAAATCCAGGGCCTCACACATGATAAGCGAGTGCTCTACCACTGAGCCACAACCCCAGCCCCTATTTTGTGTTTTCTAAATGTTCTTCAATAGATTTCATTGTTCTTTTTGGTTAAATGCATTGTTATTATTTTTAAATCAGAACTGCCCCTACCCCCATTTCTTCCTGGCTATTGCTCATACAAAGAAAAGCTACTTGATTTTTGTACATTTTCCCTCTCCCAGGTGTTTTAATCTGAATAAGTTAAATACCTCATATCTTTTGTAGTTGCATCACCTAGGGAGGTGGTTCTCCAGGTGTAGCTCCTGAACTGGCAGTGTTAGCATCACCTGGGAACTTGTTAGAAACCTTGGAGTCTTGGAGTCTCAAATCAGACCTACCAATTCAGAAACTGAGTGTGGCATCCAAGGATTTTCAGGTATAGGATAATACTTGAAAAGATGATATTATCTTCTTGTTTTTGCTCATGGTAATACTACCTTTTCTTAGCATTTGATGAAATAGTCCAATGTTGGGTGCTAATAGAGTTAATTTTGATTTTGATTTTATTTGAAAGAAATTTGTCTTTTGTTAGTTTCTGGTGTTTAGCATATTTGAAATGTCCTAAACTATAAGAATTTTATATAGGGGTTTACTGGGGTGAAATGAAATCTTAGAGTGGTTTTGATTTGCATTTCTCTAATTGCTAGCAATCATGAACATTTTTTCATATATTTGTTGATTGATTGTACATCATCTTCTGAGAAGTGTCTGTTCAGGTCCTTGGCTCATTTATTGATTGGGTTTTTTTTTTTTTTTTTTTTTTTTTGGTGCTTAGCTTTTTGAGTTCTTTATATTCCCTAGAGATTAATACTCTATCTGATGTGTGAGGGGTAAAGATTTGCTCCCAAGATGTAGGCTCTTTATTTACTTCACAGATGGTTTCCTTTGCTGAGAAGAAACTTTTTAGTTTGAGTCCATCCCATTTATTGATTCTTGATTTTAATTCTTGCACCAAAGGAGTCTTATTAAGGAAGTTGGGGCCTAATCCCATACGATGGAGATTAGGGTCTATCTACTTTTTCTTCTATTAGATGCAGGGTCTCTGGTTTTATTCCTAGGTCCTTGATTCATTTTGAGTTGAGTTTTGTGCATGGTGAAAGGGGATTAATTTCATTTTGTTACATATGGATTTCGAGTTAGACGAACTCTAGATAGGGCAGAGGAGTTGGAGGGGAAGGCAGAGGGCACGGGGTTAGAAATGATGGTGGAATATGAAGGACATTATTATCCAAAGTACATGTGTGGAGACACAAATTGGTGTGAATATACTTTGTATACAACTAGAGATATGAAAAATTGTGCTCTATATGTGTAATAAGAATTGTAATGCATTTTGCTGTGATATATAAGTAAAAAATAAATAAAGAGAAAGAAAGAATTTAATATTGGGATTTAAACAGGAATGAATACTTTTAGCAAATGTTTTTCAGAATTTATTGAGGCAATTATAGAAGTTTTCACCTTTAATTTGCTGTCATTTGAAATGTATTAATGGATTTGTGCACTTTATGCATTCATGGAATAAATACGACTTGATGACCTTATTTTAATATGTTGTTAGATTTGGTTTTCTAATGTCCATTTCCTGACATTCTAGTTAATTGAATTATTTGTTTTTCCCCTACAGTAATATCAGTACTCCTTACCTTATAATAATAATAATAATAATAATAATAATAATAATAATAATAATGTTCTCAAATCCTTAAAAATCCAGTTTCTCTTGTGCCAGATTAAGGGGTTAGTTGCTTTTTAATAGTATGTGTTTTATGCAGTTACTTAGAACTCAAATCAGAACAATAGTGACAGTTGATCTCATATGTTCTCATTAGAATTTTACCAAATATCTGGCTGGGTAGTTGTCCTCGCCAAGTGGAACACGTAACCATCAAACTGAAGCATGAGTTGGGCATAACGGCTGTCATGAATTTCCAGACGGAATGGGATATTGTCCAGAATTCCTCCGGCTGTAACCGCTACCCCGAACCCATGAGTCCAGACACTATGATTAAGCTGTATAAGGAAGAAGGTTTGGTCTACATCTGGATGCCAACACCAGACATGAGCACTGAAGGTAAGTAAGGCTCAGAAGAGCTGCTCTAGCTTCTTGCTGAATGTGTCTCAGGGAAGACCTTGCAGTCTGTCTGTCCTTGTATCTATAATTGAATGTCTTAAATATGAATGGTATAAATATAAGGTTTCAGATTTAATATATTTAATGTGTATCTTTTGGTGCTTTGGCTAAGATTCTGTTTAACTTGGCTTTTTAAATTTGCTTATTTATTAAATATATATTCATTGTGTATCTACTATGTGTGTGACGTTATGCTGGTTGCTGGGAACATGACATAAAAAGAAAGGCAGGTGCAACTCCTGTCTTTGTGAAGGTTACAGTCCTATAGGGATGTTGCACATTAGTAAGTAAAAATAAAAAATGAAAAATATGAATTCCTTTGTTAGGAAGATACATAGATAATACTGTGAGAGCGACAGATAATCCAGGAAGGTTTCTCAGGAAGTGATGTCTGAGCTAAGGTCTGAGGGTGGACTGGGGGAAGAGTGAATGGCCCAGAGACTCCCAGGCAGAGAGGCCAATTAGAATCCCTGTGGCAGGAGAGGGCGTGGAGTGTTGCTGGAACTGGAAGACCAACGGGGCTGCAAATGTGAGAAGGAGGGAAGACCTCTACCAGGATTTGGGCCACAGTAAGGACTTTATACTGTTCTAAAGCAGTGACAAGCAGATGAATGATTGGGAAGCTGGGAAATGCCAAGATTCTTTTTTTTTTCCTCCAGAAGTGCTCTTTGATTATAGTTGGGAGAATGGATTGAAGGTGAAGCTGGGGGGTCCATGAGGGGGTGAGTGAAATGGAGAGAGTGTTAGAGAGAATACAGCGGAGCCAGGGTGTTGATAGGAGTCTTTATTGATCATACAGGTGCTTGCTGAGCAGGTCTTTGTGAAAAAGGAATTGTGTGAGAACCAGAGACAAATAAGGCGTGATTTGGACTGAATGGCAAGAGGCAGTAAGACGAGTTCAGAGTGTAGTGCAGACGGAGGTGGATGTGAGAGGAATGAGGTACATGCTCTGGAGGACTATGGCTTTGCAGCAGCCCATTCTGTGGAGGAGCACAGGGAGGCTTTGTGAATGCCATGGCATTTGGCGTAGGCATGACCTAGACAGGAAGGTGTGGCTGGAGAAAGGGCAGGCTAGGGGAGATAAGCAACATAGACTAAGGTTCATAAGCAAGGGATTTTAAAGGAATGATCTATATCTCTGAGCCTGGTTGGAGAATGAAGTAATTGTTGCAAAGAAGTGGAGGCACCTGTAGAGAGAACAAAGATGCTGATAGTATCAGCATCCTGTCAGCAGGGGGCAGCAGAGAGCTGTGGAGATGGCATGGGTTAAGGGAATTTAGGGACCCGTTGTTCTGAAGGAAAGAAGGAAGGCAGGGCTGCCTAGACAGGAAATCAGGAAGTGTTTCCATCATCAGCCCTTTTCCCTACAATGCACATTAGGCATCAAACACAATACTGAGAAATTTGCATACATTAACTCATTTAATGCTCTAACAGGACTCTGGTTAGATGTTGTTATCTCCATTTTGCAGAGGAAGAGACAGGTACAAAAAGTTAAGTAACCTGGTCAGGCCATAGAACTAGAAAGAGGCACAGCCTGGATTTCAAGGCTGGCAACCTGACTCAGAACATTGCTCCAAAAAACCAGACTACAAAGCTTCTCTCTGTGTTCTCACAAATACTCTTGCAGATTCTATGGACCAACTAGTTTAGTCTCTGACACTCATGACCAACTGTTGTTATGCACAGCCATGACTTGTAGGGAAGGTAGCTTATCTCCCCCAATGTCAGTGGTATGCAAGGTGGGAAAACCTCTCTCTCAGGCCACCTTGATCCTGTATCTACCTCAGGTGGTGCATGTGGCCAAACTGGGCCTCCTTGTGGGTCTGTGTCTGAACTGAACTATCACTGAAGTTGGAGTGTGATTTTTGTTTCTGAAAGTGTGGAGCATTATTGACAGTTTGTTTTTTTCCCCTTGGTAATCTGATCCAAGGGAGCCTGATTTAGTCTTGAAAGTTTGGCCCTTTCTCAAGGAAGAAAAACATATCAAAAAAGAAACTTCATTTACATAGAAGAGCGTTGGTTGAATATAGGTGATCCTTGCCCTGCCCAATTTGTTTCTCTGATTTCAAAACAGAGAAAATTGTTCGGGTAGTATGACTAGTTCCCACAGAGCATTTTAATTTAAGTTTCTTTGATTCTGACCTGATAATATTGTTACCTGCTGAGCAACACAGCGGGGGACAGACTGAGAAAAGTTGAGCTAACACTATGCAGAGCCTCCGTTCCCTCCTATGCACTGATCATGTGAAGGCCATGCTGCTAGGAGGTAATTTGCTTGATATTTTGGAGGTCTGCAGAAGCCTGAGGGAAAACAACCCATAAGCACACATTTTTGTTGTACTCAAATCTTTTTGGGGGTCATTGGGTCACTAGGTTTGGTGCAGCCGTGACCATCTTTCACACAGAGGCAGTGGGTGGCAGCAAAATGAGACCTCCCACCAGAAACAGGTGAAACTCTAAGACTAAAAAAAAAAAAAAGAGTTTCTTTGGTTCACTAAACCTGGAGGAGTAAATCAAAGAGTTAACAACCATTCCTGAGCCCCAGGAAACGTTTTACCAGTAGATTAATCTATGTGGCTTCACAATATTAGCACAATGAAAGTATAGATTAGTCCAGCTGAATATTTTTAGAACTCTAGAGAAAAGATCCATTTGGAAGCACTTTGCGCCACAGCACAATGCTGTCAGATAAAGTCTGAGAAGGGAGACAGGCTGTTAGGCTGTCCTGTCACTACTGGTTGTCACACACCTGTTACAATCAATTGCGCTATTGATCTTACTCTGGCATGCTTTGTCACATGTGGAGGGGTCGTTTAGATTTCTTTTTCATATTTTTTAAAATGTAGTTTGCGTCTTTCACTTGAGAAATGAAAAGCCCCCCCGCCCCGCATCCAACACCCACTTGTACAAAACAAACCAAATCTACTCATTAAAATGTCCCCCATATAGAAAGAATTCAGGTTGAGTCTTGACCTCTGTTCCTTCAGTTCTGCGAATGACAAATGGTCTCCCCTTGCCTCCCAGATGAGTTAATGTGCTCCCCGGAGTCCTCAGCAACCCCCCTGTTATTTCTTACAGCCTGAGTTCTTTTCACTCAGCAGACTGCATTCGGCTCTGCCATTGTGGGAAGATGCTGACTTTGGAGCCAGAACATCTGGCGGCCAGCCTCAGACCTCTGTGTGGCTTGTGATGCTGGCAGGTTAGTTCCTGCATTGGGAAAGGGGAATAGTAATTTCTGCCTTACTGGAGGGTAACAATAGAATAAGATGAGTGATATGAAAGGGCTTTGAAAGTCAACAAGTTGTGATCATATGATTAGTGCATAGTTGTAAGTTTCTACCAAAGAATGTTCTAGACGAGCTGAACCTTATAATCCAAAGGTGGAAGAGAAGATGTGCACAATAAAATAATGAAATTTTATGTGTCTGTCTCTGGAGTAAGAAAGGAAACAGTAGAAACTCTAAGACAAAAAAAAAGTGTTTGTGTGATTGAGGAAGGCTGAACAGTGTGCCATGAATAAACTCTTCAGGTCAACCTCAGGTAAAGCATGCCTTTGGGGTTCGAGACCCTCCCTTATCTCAGACCCTAATGCCCCACATTACCTGCCCAAATTCCCTCTCTCTCCTCATTCTCACAACCTTGCCTCACTCAGTGGTGCTCTCAGGATGCTATTTTAATCATTTTAGGATTGGGTTAGTCTGGAGCAGGTGTAGGTTACAGTTGGGAGAGAAGGATCTAGCTCTGTCTCAGATCAAATAGGTACTTCTGTCTTCTTCTGTTGTTTCATTTTTGTTCATGATTTAATGAATGTTTATTGAGCATCTACTGAGACCCAAGGCTTGTTTTAAATTCCAAAGTGAGAAACACAGATGGTAGTGTGTTTTGTTTGACCTACACAGGGTTTACAGTTTTTCAACTTTGTTGCCAACACTTAAAATATGGAACATTTTAAATGAAAAGATCTGGAATTTTGCCTTATCACGAGGTATTACTGTCTTTAAGAATGGAAACTCCTTATCAGATTAAGTTCTGCATGGAGATTATATATAGGAAACTTAAAATTTATCGACTCTGATTGATATCAACTCTAAATTGTTTAGGGTATATTACGGTGAGCCCTGATCTTATCCATCTTCTTTTTGTTCCATGGTGGGTTTTGTATTACTCTGGGCTCCCTTGGATGGGTTTTCAAGAAGGGAGATGGACCTGTTGGGTGCTGAGAGTTTCTCTAGGGTGGGGCAGAGTTGTTACAGCCCACGGAGGAGGCTGCTCTTCAACGGGGTAAAGACAGCATCATGACTGGGTAAGTAGGGTGGGAATTCAGACTCACAAGATGCGGGGAGGAAAGTATCAGAAACCAGGTCAGTTAGAGAAGGACCTCAGTTGTTAAGATCAGAGGCTTTGAACTGTCTTGGCTGGAGTAGCCACTTAGGGAATAACTTAGGGCAACCTTCTGTGACTCTGTTCCTTCATCTAAAAATTAAGGATAGAAATGGAAGTGGCCTCATAGTTGGTAAGAGGTGGTTATAAATGAGCAGTATCACACAGAATATTTAGTGCAGAATGCTTGCCAGGTAAAAAGGGCTCAGTATATATTATCTATAATTAGTCAGGGCAGGGTGCAGTCTCTAAAGATCAAACTGAAGTAGGGCTCTGGCTGAGGCCAGGTTAGGATGGGAGAGCACTCTGAACTGGCTACTTCTCTGAGCCGCTTCCAGTGATTTATGTTTGTTACTTAAATATTTGATAGATCTTAAGCGGGATTTTTCAGTGATTCTGGAAGAAGGCTTCCGGTGACCGTTACCCCATGTTGGTGAAGCCCCTGTGAAGCTGGGCACCTTTGGTGCACATGGCAGCTGACACACACCCCTCAGAAGGATGGGTCTGAAATGAGAGAGCCTCAAACTAACAGTATCCCTTTTTAACTTCTGAACAGAGCACATGCTTCTTAATAAAAAGCACATGCTTTTTACAGATAAAAAGGAAGGGGACGGTATTACATCAGTTGGGCTCTTTGGAGCAGACCTGTCCTTGGGGAACCTCTGAGTAGACCGAGGGAAGAGATCCTGACTGGGTCTGTTGAAGACTTGGTTTGGCAGGCTGGCCACACTGGCCAGCACTGGGGCTGGACTCTTGGGTTCAGCACCTTCTACTGCAAATGGCCACTGTAGTCTATTTATAGATTGGGCAATTGACAAAGCAAAACAAAAACAAAAACAAAAACTAAATTAACAACATTCTTTTTTATTTCCTGCCAAAGAACATAGTGTCTGGAGAAGCAGCCATAGCAAAGAACTTGTCACCTGATGCTAGTGGAATGGGGGTAGGAACTACAAGTGGGATTCCATTCCCACCCACCCAGAGTTTCTTAGAGCAAACCTCCTTCCAACCCTGAGTAGGACACAAGCCCTGCAGTTAAGCAGGACACACGTCTCAGCAAGATCAACCAAACTAACCTAGGAGGCTTTGCCACCTCTGATCCCCTGACTCAGATGGTGAATCCACCACACAGTGCTTTCCCTAAGACCGCAGTGAGGCGCCTCACTGGCTCATCAGATGCTCTCCACACCTTGCTGCATCTCCAGGACATTTAGTACCTCTGGGAGGGGACCACAAGGAACTATGGCAGCCCCGCCCAGCTCCACCTCAGAACACCTGAAATCAGGCCTGCAGCATTTCATGAGTTAAAATTCATGGCTCAGTTTGGACACAGGGATCAAGATAGAGCATGAGTCAGGGCAACAGGCCCTAGGGAGAGAGTGATGTGGCCTAAGGCACCAACACATTCCTTTCTGACACGTTCTAAACTGCTGGCTGGTGCCTGTAGCTTTGAATCTCTTCATTAGGGAGACTCACAGAACACGGTGGCTAGGCTAGACTGTTATCCTGGCTTCTCTGCAGTCTCCCACTCCTGTCTCAGTGTGGTGGGTGTGAAGCTGAGGTAGACAGGTGACTGAGAGGACCTTCAAGATGGGGTGTGTGTGTGTGTGTGTCCAATTTCATTGTGTTGTGTTAGCTTCTTCAGGGCACTTGTGTTTCAAGAGGGCATCTAAAGAGGGAGACTTGACTGCATTTCCTGGGGATTTTAGACCTTGGGGCAGGTCAGCAGGTGAGGGAGGGGCTTACCACTACTTCAGTCATTCAGTGGGATGGCAAAATGTAGGCGGGCAGAGCTCCTCCGTGTGATCCTGAGAGGATCCTTCTGGGGCCATTATGTCCTTCTGTGGAGGACAGAGAGCACCTAGAGAACACTGAGGTATAATTATCCATCTATAATCCGGGCTCTGTATGGTTTCTCTGTTTTATTTCTTCTTGATTTCATTTACTAAAAAACTTCAACTCACTGTTAAAATCTCTCTAGTGAGAAGCTGTGAGCAGAAAGCATCCAGGAACTCTAGGATGGTTGTAGGGGGCGCCTCTGCTTTGCAGGATAAGAGGAGGGAGTCTCTCAGCACTCAGCAGGGCATAGAACATCTTCTCTCAGAAGGAGAAGACATTTGGATAACCTAATAATTGAAATAGCAGCATAAAGTGGTAATAGCTATAATCATAATTGCCCAATAACATAGAAATTGAATCAGTTTTAGTATTCACTGCATCATGGTGAAGTAAATGATTGGTTGTTCCACATATATCAATTATAAGTCAGCCATTCCGTTTGACAAGTGAAAATTAACATTAAATTCTAGTTCAGGTTTCATCTATCTAATTAATGAAAAAGATTGATTCTTTAACCAATGTGGACCAGTTCAGTGTTTTACATTTATATGGAAGAACATTTTATGTTAAATGAAATTCAGGTGACAGAATATAACATGCTTTCTTTGAAATCTTCCAAAACCACTGACCAATCTCTGTGAGCCCTTGTAAGAGATGTAAATATCTATTTCCACTACAGATGACAGTTTACTTTGGAGGGAAATTTGCATTGATGGTAAAGCCACTCAGAGGAGCAGCGACATTCAGTGAAGGTTCAGAGGGACCCAGCCAGTGTCTCTGGAATGCTCTTTCCACTTTGTTATCGGGCTCTAAGCTCGCCTCACCTCTGCCTTCGAAGCAGAGCCAGTGCTCATGGCCCTGCCTCACTCTGCCTGGCCCTGTGATGTGGCGGTGTGCCGGAGGAGGTAGCAGTGACATACGGAGGTCTCATGTTCACTTGTGTGTGCTGTGCTCTCTCCATCAGGCCGAGTGCAGATGCTCCCGCAGGCAGTGTGTCTCCTGCACGCGCTTCTGGAGAATGGACACACCGTGTACGTTCACTGCAACGCGGGGGTGGGCCGCTCCACCGCTGCGGTCTGCGGCTGGCTCCAGTACGTGCTGGGCTGGAATCTGAGGAAGGTGCAGTACTTTGTCATGGCCAAGAGGCCAGCTGTGTTCATTGATGAAGACGCCTTGGCCCGGGCACAAGAGGACTTTTTCCAGAAATTTGGGAAGATTCATTCTTCAGTGTGTAGTCTGTAGCTGGCCAAGCTGCCTCCCCTTCCTCCCAGTTTTTTTTTTTAAGGATCCTGGAGTGATGTTAGTAAAATGACCTAGAAACAAAAGCCCCACTCGAACTGGGAGGACTATGGTGTGTGCTCCTCCTCCAAGCTGCTCCTGTGCTGCTGGGAGTGGTTTTCCATCAGGCCTTGGGCTGTACTTTACAAAGGAAGCTGTGATTGACACCGGAGAAAGGCCGAAAGCAGCTGGGTTGTGCAATGTTGTTCTAGCATCAGACACAAAAAGAATGCATGCAGTCGCAGCTGCCTCGGGGCAGAAGAGTCCTTTGCTTCACAGGTACTGCATGGGCTGTAGCATAGATTCGTAAGGGCAATTTCTCCTTGCATTGTGATTCTTTGACATGCAAAATTAAAGATCGCAGGTTATGTGGATCTCATCACTAGACTATTATATGCGTGTGTTTGCACATGCGTACACACACACAGCTTTTCTACTGAACTGAACTAACATTATGGTCATTTGCCAAAGGAGGGAATAAGGGTAGAAACTGAACTATGACAAAAGAAGAGCTCATATAGATGGAAAGCAGTGATTTTCTTGGTTTTTGTGTCCTGTTTTGTAGTGGTATAGTGTACCCATAGGCATCTCCTTCCCTATGTACCCGAAGACCCCATGTGATAACCAAGGTAGACTAAGCTCTCTATTTGTTTTAGTTGAGTTTTAATGCGTTTTCCTAAAGTCTCACAACCAGTCAGGGAGGAGCTGGAGTTTGTAGCTCATGTTTATGTGACTCAGTGCTATTTTCCATCCAATTTGTTTTCCATCATAGAGTAGTGACTTCAGTTTTGTTCCTCTCAGAATAAGGTTGATCCCCTGCAGAAATTTCTATAGTGAGAAATGCAACAGTGTTCTAATCAATTACCACAGAATTTAGGTAAGTATTTCTATTTTGTACAACCTAATTTAAGACATGGTGGACTGTCTCAAGGCTTGAGCCTTAGCTCAGGAACTGTATCACAAAAAAGAACTATATGAGAGGAACTGTATTACCAAAAAAGCCCAAAGAGCCAAAATCTATAGGTCATTGTTTCAAAGCTTGAGTCTGATTCTGGCTCAACCACCAGTTTAGTGCAACACACAGTTACTGTGCCTCCAGAACACTCAATTCATTCCACTAAGTTCTACAGGAAACAAAGATGAGCAAGATGTTGCCTTCAAAAGTGTTCACCTTGGAAATAGACCTGCGTTCAATACCCTAGACCTTGACCTGTGTTTAACCAACCATAATACAAAATTGAGTTGTGCTCTCGAGGTAAGAATACAGGAAGAGAAATACCTTTCAATTGAGTGCCTGGATGTGGTGTGTCTACCGTTTTATTCAGTTGCACCTTCATAGTACACCATGAGAGAGGCTTCATTTTCTCTATTATTTAAATGAAGAAGCAAAAGCTAAGAGAGGTTAAATCAGTGTCAGTTGCCACATGCTGAGTAAATGCAGTGAGAAACAAAACTAGATTTGTTTGACTCACAGTTCACGCTTTAAAAACTTAAACTATAATGCTTATTTATTTTTCTGTTTCTTCTTTCTTCCACAAACATGTATTGATAGATAAGAGAGATTCTCATTCAGGAGGTATAAAAGGGGATAAGAAGGACCCAGGGTGAGTTCCAGTAGACCTTAGAAGAGAGGGAGATGTCTTATAACCATGACACTGCGGGAGAGGTGACATTTTGATATTTGCTTTGGGCAGAGGAGGCTAGATAGGAAACATTTTTTTTTTCTGACAGGTTTACAAAATTCAATTTATAAACCAGCACTGGATGGTGGGAAGTTCAGTTCTCTTGCTAAAAATAATTAGAAATAGTCATTGTATTCAGGAACCCATTTATAGTCATGTATGTTACATAAAATTTAATCTTAAAAATGGAATATTTTAAACTAATATACGTAAGTGGTGTGTGTGTATGTGTGTGTGTGTGTGTGTGTGTGTAAATTTCCTTAATGCCCAAGAAATCCAGCTGTATAATTTCTACTTTATAATGGCCTTTTGGGATAGATTTCTCCCTTTTTTCCTTTTTTTGCTCTGATAAAACCAGTTTAAGACTATTACAGAATGTTTTAGAATAACCTCTTTTGTCCTCAGTGAATGGAATGTCTAATATATTTTGAAATCACCAGGATTTTTGGTTAAATAAAAGCATTAGAAAAAGACCTTTGTCTCTGGAATTGTTTTAATGTTATCAACTTAGTCTGGAATCTAGAGAAATCAACTGGGTTTTTTTTTTTTTTTTTAAAGGGGGCAGTGAGCTGAGCTAAATTGTTCTTTCTTTGTTGTCCTTACTCTGTCATTAACCTAGCAAAATTGGCAGTTAAATGATAGAGGAAGTCAACAGCAGGGCCACCACAAAGAAGTGATGAAAACTTGTTAGAATGGGTCTGACAAAAATCATATCACATATGGTGTCCTTAGCTGCTTGTCATTGGTATTAACTAAATTTTGTGGGGGAGGGTGCTGGGGATTGAACCGAGGGCCTTCCACATATTAAGCACTCATCCTACCACTGAGTTACACCCCAGCCCAACAAACTTCAATCACAGACTTCTCAAAGAAAATTGTATTATGGTAAAGAAATATCCAAGTAGGGTTGTCTTCTTTCAGACTTTTAACATTATCCTTCTTTTAGACTTTTAACATTATCCTTCTTTTATTTTATAGACAAAGAAATCTGAAAGAATACACACTCTCTTCCAGCCAACATTAAGGTGTAGGTGAAAACCACTGGGTTGGGCCTAAGAAATAAATGTGGTTAGGATTTTGAAAATATAAGGAGGTAATGGAAGGAGAGATTTGCAAATGTGTTAGAAAAGAAATGAAAACTTGCCACAGGTGAAAAGAAAAACACTGAATAGCTAAACATGGAGTCAGATTAGAAGTTAAAACTGAAATTATCTTAAAGATTTATAAACTATCACTGGATAATGTAATTATTTTACAGAAGAGCCAAAGGCCCAGAGATATTAACTCAGTTTTCTGTAGCAAAGAATTGTACTCCAGAGAAAGAGGATACCCCAGGTACACAAGTCAGAGGAAGAGGGTACCCAGGTACACAATTCAGAAGTAGAGGGTACCCCAGGGATAGGTCAGGAGATTTATTATTATTATTTTTATTTTATAGATAAGAAAACTAGAGATATAGAGAGAATGTGAAATTATTCCCAGGCAAATAAGACAGCTTCATTCCTGGTTTGGTAGTTTAAGTTTCTAATCAACCACTTTTTATAAACACTGAGCATTTTAAATATATTAGTTCTCTAGGTCAGGAGTAATAGTGCACTACAGACATAATGGCTTAAAAAACAGAATTTATCCTCTGCTAGTTCTAGAGTCTAGAAGTTCAAAGTGTCAGCAGGGCTGGTTCCTTCTGAGAACTGTGGGAGGGAATATGTTTCTTGCCTCTTTCATTTCCAGCCATTTTTGGCATTTCAAGAAATGCCAAAATGATGTTTCTGCAGAAACATCACTGTGGTCTTCATCTTCAGAGTTCTCCCGGTGTAGGAGTCTGTGTCCTTTTCTGGTTTTTATAATGATACTGACAAGTCACACCTGATTAGGGTTTCTCTTTCCCAATATGACATCATCTTAACTGATTACATCTGCAATGACTTATGTTCAAGCATGGTCCCATTCTGAAGTAATGAGGTTATGACTTCAACATATGTTATAGAAAACTACTTAAAGTCATGGACACTGGGAAAGAAAACCAGGCAGATTGGAAGGAGTGGAAATTTGAAAGAAAGAAGCAAGTAGAATGGGATATTTCCAATTTTCACAGGTTTATTTTGTAAAAGAGTACTACTGAAAAGTAGTCAAAGAGAGATGGAAAATTGGAACTGTTCAAATAAAAGAAGATGAATTCCTGTACTGTAATTATATTAGGTAATATACCAATATTATTAAAGGAAAGACTTAGGTCAGTGAAAAATATTGCTTTCCTTGAAAACCAAAGTGGATTAAGGACTGAAGCATAAAGTCTGAAACCATAAAACGAGAAGAAAGCATAAGAAAAAGCTCCCTGACATTGGTTTCAGTTACAATTTTTTGGATACTGAAATTACAAACAACACAGACAGAAACAAGCATCAAACTAAAAAGCGTTTTCACAGCTAAAAGAAAAAAGTCAACTTGCAGAGTAGAAAAAAATATTTGTGAAGACTATGTCTAATAAGGGATTAATATCCAAAATATATAAGGAACTCAAATCAGAAGCAAAAAGACAAATAACTCAATTAAAAATGGACAAACAACCTGAAAAGACATCTCTAAATACGTATGAATAGCCAACAGGTATACAAGAAGGTGCTCCACACTATTAATCACCAAGGAAGTGCAAATTAAAATCACAGTAATAGATCACCCCACGTGATAGATGGCTATTACAAAAAAATAGAAGTAACTTCTGTTACATTTCAACTTGTTTGCATTTATTTAGTTTTTATTTAGAAAAAACTATTTTGATTTCTTGGTTTCTTGCTTTTATTTTTGATTATTATAGCTTCTCCCTCATAACAAAAATAATAGTGACTGTATGTCCACTGGCTTTTACACCTTCTTCATACTGACATTATTGCATGACTTAGTTTTTCACATTTGTCATTTATTTTCTCTTTTTCTTTTTGTGATCCTATTTTTTTAAATACTTGGGATCAAACCAAGGGTCTTGTGCATGCTAGGCAGGTACTGTACCACTGAGCTACATCCCCAGCATTTTTTATTTTGTTTATTTCTGACACAGGGTGTTGCTCTTAGCTCAGGCTGGCCTAGAGCTTGTAATCCTCCTGCCTCAGCCTTTGGAATGAGTGGGATCACAGGTATGCGCCACTGTGCTCAGGATCTTTTTTCTAAAGTTGTTAGGGAAGGCGAAGAAAATGTTGGTAGGGACCAAATCCTCATTGCTGGACCTACAATTACCACCCTGCCCCATTTCTCACTTTCTTCTCTCTCTCAGTTTCCATCATTACTGAGAAATTTAACCTGGTATTTCTCAAGGTTTCAGTGAGTGCATTAATGCCCAGCTCCCCTGCAGTCCTGTATCTCTGGTGAGATATGCTGAGCCATATATGATAGTGTTCATCTATCAACACATTTCCCAAAACACAATCATGCTGAAATATCTTATCTGCTGGTAATCCTTCTTTACCGTCTCTTCATCGTTGCAGGTGAATTTCTATCTTCAAATTTTATATCATCATTTTTACTCATATGTCAGGAGGAATGGTGTGGTTGCCATTTTAAACCAGAATTTTCTCAATCATCATCTATACCAATGACATCCAAATCTCAATCCTCATTCTAATTTCTTTTCTGAGTGCCAGGCTCATATATCAAAAGAAAAAAAAATTTTC